CCAACCCAGCTACCATCCTCCACCATCCGACTCTCAATAGGCCGGCTATATCTCTCTCCAAGCATCGAGGACGATACTTATTTTAAGCTTAGGGAGGGGCATCCATCCATGCATAAATCCCGTTGCATGTAGGTTGCATGTAGTTTTGTACATATTGCATTAATTTTCATTTCATTTTCTTTTTCATTAGTTTTGTACATATTGCATTACTTTTTCATTTCATTTTTTTTTTTTGCATGGAAAATTTTTCAAAAACCAAAAAGATTTTCTGTCTATTCTAATTTTTATTATTTTCTTTGTATCTAAATTTTTGCATTGCATTCATTGCATAACTACCAAAAAAAAAAAAAAAAAAAAAAAAAAAAACCATCCAATCCCAAGCAACTGAATCTTTTCAAAACAGTTAACCTGGTAATGAGTCATGTGCCTTGAAATTGGCTTGCTCTTTTTATTGAAAAATCTAAAAGCAAGTTAATCACACACGAACACACCTCCCGAAGCTACTTATGCAAAACAGAAAATGAAAAGATTGTCAACATTGGATCATAATAGTAGGTATGACTCAATTCTTTGGGACATATGACCGGTATTATGAGTAGTAATGCTCAATTGAACTTGAAATGCCAAATTCAAAAGTTTATAAAAAGAATGCAAAATCTCAATGTCCCGCCTTCCAGCGCTCTTAAAAGTCCTTTGTACTCATTCCCTTTTATATACCCTGCTTGGGGACACAACTTTCAACTATACTTACGGGTCTTTGCATGTTAACCTTTAGTCCCCTGAAAAATGTCTTAGAAGTCCTCACAGTAATAGACCGTGAGATGTCCCACAATAGAAAAGTCAAGGACGAAAATATAAAGAAATTGGCCAAATAAATAAATTAATAAGAGTGTTATGTGTTAACTTAGTTATTTGTATATGTGTTACATTTAAAAAAAAAAAAAAAAAAAAAAAAAAAAAAAAAACTATTATTAAGTTAATCTGTGACCTTTGGGATTCGAACAAGTAAACTCTGAGGGGTGTTTTACACTTAATCACCTAAAGCTGAATAGTTTGGGACTGATTGAGTTGAAAATTCATTACACGGGTTCCATAGAATGTCATTAACTTAATAATTGCAAATAAAGCTAATATGTTACCTTTGAGGTTCGGGCAAGTAAACCCGAGGGATCTCTTTAAATCTAGCAGACTAAGGTTATTTGATTTGGATGTGTTGGTTGGAAGCCCATTACACGGATTTCAAAGAAAGCCATGAGCTTTATTTGTAAAAAAATATAATTAAGAAGTTTGTATATAATTGTGTTTATAGTTTAATTGAATATTGTGTTTACGAAAACTACTTGGCTGTCAAAAGATTCCCTTGGACTTGGATTTGAACTTATGACATTGAACTGAATGTTAATTACTTTGACTGGTGTAAGTGGTTTGAAGTTTGTAACCAATCTAGATACATATTAGGGAATTTTCAAAAAAGATTTTTCAGAAAAAGATTGTTGCCGACCAACAAATAGCTGGAATCGGGCATTGTTATATTTTATGAAACAAAGATGGTTGAGCATGTTTTGTCACATATAATTTCACGAGAGTAAGACCATAATTTGTTCTAAGAATTGACTTGATGATATTGAAAAGGAATAAGTGTTGTGATCTTTGATCCTGTTGAGTTGTATTAGGGAGTGGCCAAAGTCTTATTTCTATTATCATATAATATTTTGAGACTAAAGCCAAGTTGACTCAAGGCATGATAAGTACATTCTCTACTATAATACAAAACAGGGTACTTGGGTTGGATCTTTTCATGTTTGTTTTGATTTCATGCATTAAGTTTCAAATAGTTTTAACTTTAATTTTCTACTCTTCTATTCTATTTTATTTTCTCCAGTGTAAGTCTTCTTGTTCTTTCTTGAGGACAAGAAAGGTTTAAGCTTGGGGAGATTTGTTAGGTGCATTTCATGTACCCATTTTGTAGCTTTATTTTATAAAAGTACATTGCATATAGGCTTAAACTCATGCATTTTGCATGTTTTTCTGGATTTTTCATGAGGTAATTTCATTCAAATACTTTTGTGATATTTTAGGGACTTTTGGAGGAAGGATATTGTTGGAGGAGGTAAATAAAAGTTGCGGACAAAATTTCAGGACTTGCGGAGCACCGAGGAGCAAGATATCAAAGAAATGAGAATTTTGGCTTTACAGACGTTTACACGGCCGTGTAAATGGAAGCCTTGCGTTTACGCGGGCCATGTAAACGTAGATTTCTACGCAATATATTTTTGCGTTTACGCGGGCCGTGTAAATGACAGTGTTAATTTACGCGGGCCGTGTAAACGTAAACGTGAGTTTTAAAGCAGTTTTTCACCATTCTTAAAGGGGGGAACCGACTTTTTACTTAGGGGATCGACTTTTGGAGTAAAGAAGGCGAATTTCTTGAGGATTTTGAAGTTGATTAACACTTGGGAACATTTGATTTCATTTTGTAAGAACTTTAATTTCATTTTCTAGATTTGTGATCTTGTTCTAGCCATGAGTGGCTAGAACCCTAAATTCTCCAACTTTATGTCTTGACATTTGGATGTGATTTCAATCATATGACTTGATGTTTGCTTTCAATTTTCTATCTAGTGAATTTGATTTTGCCTCAATCGAATGTTTGATTATAATTGTGATTCTTATTGGCCATTTGAATTAGGGTTAGATCATTAAAGTTATCTAATTGCAAAATCCGTAATTGTTTTGTAAATTGGACTAGGTAACAAGCACTAATCTGATTTCTATTGAATGAAACTAGTGTAAATCTATTCACACGTTATTATGCTCCCGAGCTTATGAGGAGTATTGAGTATTGTTGGGAACATTCACATAAAGTTTAATGCAATCTTTCAACCTAATTCTAAGAGCTTGTTTAGATTAGATTGGTAAGGTTAGGATTAATCAAAGAGCTTGTTTTGGTTAATTATTGTGGTGAATGGGAAGTGTTAGAGCTTGTTAACACTTTTAAGTACCAACTTAGATAGAATTAAACAAATATCTTGTCATCCATGGAATCACATTGCTAATTTGTCTTGCATAGAGTTGGAGTTCTCACAAATTCTGAATTTGTTTCATTTAATTGATCATTTACTTATTGCTTTATTCTTTTGTTTAAATCATTGCATACCAACCCCCCATTTATGTGACCATTATTGTACCTTCCGCAAAAAGGTATAAGTACTTGTCTTGTGTCTCTGTGGATCGACCCTGCTTACCTTGTATTACATTTTTAGTGCAAAGTAACAGTGTTTTGGAGTCATTTTGTACACCTTCATTTGTTGGGTTTGACACGCTCAACAACAGATTTTCCAAATCTGATTTTGGTCGAGATAAAAGATGTCATAAAAATAAAATAAAATAATAGGTCATAGTATGAGTTTAAAAACATACTCAAAAGTGATTTATAAGGTTCACAGCTGTTCCATACAAAGCAGTACACGGTTCATATTAAGAAAATCAGATAAATATTGATTCTTACAACTTAAAAGAGGGGTAACTTCCCCAAAAGATCTCCGTTTTTGACGTTCTTTATACCCATGGAATCAGAAGAACGTAATCTATTCAAATTTTTTATCCATAAATCTCCAATATACTTAATGTAAAATTTTATTTTTAACTTCACATTTAATTATTTTTTTGGTAATTTCCGATTATATTATCAACGATAAATGATTTGAACAGTTTGAGATGTTTTGAAGGTAATTATGAATATAATATTTTTAATATACATTATAGCATATATTTTACATACAATTGGTACCTAACACAAAGCGATTTGCAGTGTTTGACCGTCGAACTCTAACCAATTTTTATCTGTTGTTACACTTTCCATGGCTCTAGTCTCAATCCAATCATCTCATTGGTGAATTCAATGATTTGGGTAAAAAGCTCCAAGAACTTTAGAAAACTCAAAATGGAGATACTACAATTGATGATGAAATGGGAATGGATTTTATAATCTATATGATGGCAACAAATCCAATTAGAATGCTCAAATTCATTTATGATGTAGAATCATATATATGCTAGAATTGGAATGAAATTGAGTGAAATGTAATGAAAACTATGGAATCTTTTGTTTGTGAGTATTTTATGAGTATATGATGCTCATAAATATGAGTTGATACTAATAATATGATTTCAATTCAAATACATCAAGACTTGAATGATCTTTAGATGAATTTATAGAATATTAAACCATAAGGGCATTTTGAAAAATCTATGGATTACTACATAAAGATTCACATCAAAGAAGTGAAAGACATTCATGAAATATGATTTGACATTCTAGAGATGATATTAGAAGATAAACATTAAGAAATGCTAGTGAAGTTCTAGCTCTAGTGATTGTTTAGGCCCAATGGCAATTTGGCAACATAGGATTGATTTGAGGATTCCATAGTTACATTAGATACTTACAATGAGATTAGGAGAAGTCGACAGAAAAAATGCTAGTGAAGTTATAGCTCTAGTGGTTGTTGTGGTTTTATGTACTTTAAAACACCCAATGATGAGAAACATCGACAGGGAGAAGTCGTCATAAAAAATAAAATAAAATAAAAAGGAATCAAGATTAGGAGAGAAACAACTAAGATTGACTATTGGCCTAATACCATGTTAACAAATGATTTTTCCATAACTTTGAAAAATTGTCTTCCACCAATTATATAAGGGAAAATGACACAATTGCCCTATTAAGTTTCTAGGGTTTACCCATTTAGCCACTTATCTTATTTTTTGACTTTATGAGGGAACGAACTCGTTTTTGTCGGGTCGATTACGTCCTTTTTGAAGTATTGAAGGGGTAAACTGGTCACAATTTTGCCACATCATTTATTAATGCCATGTGACTATACCCCACACCCATCGTCGTCTTCTTCCCCTCCTTATTTCTCAAATAGATACCTGTAACATTAAAACTCATTATCAACACCATCTCCTTCTTTTAATTCTTCCACTTAACCAAATCAATGGACTCACCACCACCACACAGACCCCGCAACCCAAGAGCACTCTTCCTTCTATACCTAAAACACCTCTCTCCCTTCACAATCTCCTCGTCTTTTTGCCTTCCACTGCCAAGAGATAAAAAACCAGACTTGATGTCTCTGAGGAGGTCACCGACCTATATGGGTCTCGTCACTACTACAACAACCGATTTTCTAATATCGGTTCACCCAGAAACACTAGAAGACACATGTGGCGAATGGAAGAGATTCGATAGGATAAAGATCTGGTTGTTGTTGATGAGTACATCATTGTTAACAACAAACAAAAGAAAATGAGACATAGTGATAGATCGAAGAAAGAGAAATCAATTTCTTTCTGTTTCATTCCATCCCCAAGTAAGAATAAATAAATTTATCTTGCTTCACTTCTGGTTCTGATCTAGGGTTCTATTGATTTACTTCTCATCTTGATTGTATTGTTATTTCAAGAGGAAACGACGAGGGTTACGGGTACACTTTCGATCAAATCAAATTCCTGATAAATGATTTGATAACATGGAATGATGTTGCAAAATCAATCCTCTGATTTGCGTTCAGTTCACTCTGTTTTTTTTTTCTTCATATTTCACAACAGACATTAGCTTTAGGTAAGTCAAGCACTTTTACCCCTTTTGAATTTTACAATCTTCAACACCACTAAAAGATTTGATTTTCGTTTTAAGCATGATTTCTTCAATATCTCATCTGGGTCTACACTTTTTGAATTTATCAAATTTTGTTATCTAAAGGTCATAAAACAAGAGAAACCTTAAGCGTAAAGAAGATGGCATTCGAAAAGCTAATATGTATCGTGATCAAACTATATTTAGTGGAGCCGGTAAGTGTGCAGATGGTGTATTTGCCGATGTCGGAGGAGCTTGTACAGTGGCAAGTTGAATTGAAGCATGTGTTGAATTTCAAAGTAGTAACCAGTAAAATTAAGGTTCAGGTTTGAATGTTGACTTGAATGATGTGGCAAATAATGTATATGTGGCAAGGAAACCGATTAAAACAAGTCTAGGGGACTAAATAGACAGGTTGCCCACAAGTTCGTTCCCTCATAAAGCCACAAAATAAGTTAAATAACTAAATGGATAAACCCTAAAAACTTAATAGGGCATATATATCATTTTCCCATTATATAATACAAATAAGTTAAGGGCTATGATACAAAAAGTATATAGTATACAATAAATATATACGGCTAACACTGATGCCTCCTAAATTACGACATACAATACACTAAAGGGAAAACACATTACTACAAAAAATAAATAAATAAATAAATAAAATCAGTTTCTGATATATCAACATAAATGTTGTCAAAAGCTAGAAGTTTTTAAGGTAGAGAATTTGATATAAAAAGAGATTAGGGTTGGACTTGGATACAAAAACTAGAAGTTTTTAACACAAATATGATCTTTCAAATAGGCCCTGTCAAAATGAGAAAATCTTTTTGTCTGTAAATCCCAAATAATAAATGAATGAGTAATGGCAAAAAGGTATATACATGATCTTCTATAAAAAAAAAAGACACCAAAGTGTAGTAAAAACATGTGTAAGCCCATTACCAGACGTAATATTCTATAAATATTCCATAATCCAACTTCTAAAACCCAACAGAGACATAACCCCAAGGCCCAAATTACCCACCGGAAGTGGAGATCGTGGAGGTGCTCCAAGCAATCGCGACGGAATCCGGCGACATCGTTTGCGAATATTCCTTCAATGACAAACCATCATCATCCAAAACAAGATCCTCCTCCTTCTCCTTCACGTATCCCCCATTCTGAATACTATTCAATCCCTCCAACACCTCCCCCATCGACGGCCGGCAATCCCTCTCGTTTTGCAAACACCGGAAAGCCAATTCCGCCACCGCATTAATCATCTTCCTGACCTCGTAATCCGTCTCAAACCCTAGACTCGGATCCACAAGCTCACCGAGTGCATCATTTCGGATCTTATTCAAAGCCATATTCGATAGGTTAATCTCATGTCTGTGCCTCGTAATATCCACCGCCGGTTTAGACGAAATAAGTTCAATCAAAACGACGCCGAAGCTATAAACGTCGCTTTTACTGGTCAACTGGTAGCACTCGTGATACTCAGGGTCGACGTATCCCGGAGTTCCTTGTGGCGCGGTGGAGACGTGGGTAACATCGGTCGGAAAAAGGCGGGATAAACCAAAATCAGCGACTTTTACGCTAAAACTGTTATCTAGTAAAATATTGTTTGTTTTAACGTCTCGGTGGACGACGTCGGAGGCGTGGAGGTAGACCAGGGCGCTAGCGGTTTCGGTGGCGATTTTTATTCTGGTGATCCATGGGAGTGAACCGGGTTTGGATTTTTCGCCGTGGAGGTGGTCAGCCACCGTGCCGTTGGGGATGTAGTCGTAGACTAGGAGGAGCTCACGGCTGTGATGGGTGGTGCAACCGTAGAGGGAGACGAGGTTGCGGTGACGGAGATGAGCGAGGATTCCTACTTCGTTCATGAATTGCTCGACCCTTTTGTAATTGTTTTCGTATAAACGTTTCACTGCTACTTCACGTCCATCTTTGAGTTTCCCTATAATCAATGTAAAGATAACTTTTAAGATTTCTGAACGAAGATTTCGATTTAAGGAATATTTGGAATAAACAATTGGACTAAATGTAAGGATTCCTTTATTTATCTATTGTAGCATTTTATTTCGAATATTTAGCATTGGATTATAAACATTTTCTTGCTAAAATGATCTTTATTGAAAACTCTACAGCATTACAACAGTCCACTTTTGATTTTTCTTATTCGGTTATTCTACTTTGAAAAATTTTAAATTATGTTTTATATTTGGACAATATTCTTATAATTTGATATATTTTAAAAGATATAGTGTTAATAAATGAATGAAAGTTAAATGTAAGATTTGACAATATAGTTTCATTCACTTGTTTATTATAGTATCTTACATTCAAATCTTTCGATTACAAAACTGTAGTCTCGATTAGTTTCCTAAATAGAGCTTTAGACACTATGATCGAAAATTACCTAACTATAGCATTCGACTTTCAATTTTTTTATTACAACTCTTTACTTTTAAAAATATATCCACTTATACCTAGCTACTGTCAATTTCCATATGATAACATACATAGAAAATCTAGAAGTGGAAATTCATGTTTCTTTAATTGGATGAAATTGTTAAAATTGGCTACATTTTTTATTTTACAATGGTGAAATAGAAAATTTTAAAATACAATATCACCATTAACAAATTAGTGAAAGCACTTTGCTATTTCTTGCTTTTAAACAATTATGTAACGCATAAATTGTAATTTAACCCTAACGTAGACTTCAACTTGGAAAACTTGGTATAAAGTATAGGGCTAAACGCAATAAATGGCAATAAACTTCCATTTATTGACTTACTAAGGCATTGCACTTCAAAAAATCTACTCAATTAAAGTAACACACTAGGTAGAGTTTTTATAAAGTGCAAGGCCCTAATAAGAACATAAACTAGGATGTTATAAGCAACTAATCAATGAAAGTAGGTTGCTATTTTTCACTTTAATTGTAATTAATATGCATACCGTGGTATACTGTGCCAAAACCACCATCTCCAAGTTCCTTCTTGGAATCAAAATAATTTGTGGCCTTTTCAAGCTCTCGATACTTAAAAATTTGGACTCCATGGTAGGTGTCATTCTTCTCAGGATCCGTTATTGATGATGGATACGAAGAAATGTTTCGTGACATATAAGACGAACCATAATTACGTTTCTTCTTATTGCGTCTTCGCAAAATATACCAAATGCCACCCATTACAAAAATCCCAAACAAACTTCCAACCACACCCGCAATAGCCTTGACCACCCAATTTCTCCCTGACCCTAAAAAGATCAAAAAAAAAAAAAAAGATATATCAATCTTTTATTTAACATGCTTCATTTATAACTATGTATCAAACATTTCTAGAGAATCACAACAACTTTACAAAAAAAAAATTCTAGAGAATCAAAGTATCAAACATCATAGCAATATTTAGCAGCGGATTTGTAAGTTGCTAGCTAATTCTTTTGGTAATGAGAAAGATGATTTACCGTTTCTCACACAATTGCTACACTGCCACTCCAATATAAAACCTTTTCTTAAAACATCGGTGTAATTTTCATACAACAACTCATTCATGCCATCGGTATGCACAGGTACATGAACCAAACTCTGACACGAATCTATCGAATAATTATTTCTCATCAAAATTTCAGGGTGGAAGACAGCAAAAGACGAAAATCGACTACTATTAGTATCACAATCAATCGTATATGTCTTCTCTGAATACGGAATACTACAGTTGTAATAAAAGTGTAGATCGATTGTGAGAGCGCTATAGCTAAAGGGGGTTTCATTGGTGCTAAAGTTTCTTAGCGGAATTGGGCACTTATTGGTGTTGCTAAAAGCCTTCGAGCTTACAAGAAGGAATGAATTGTTGGAATAAAATATGTCTTTTATGATGTAATCATCGTTGGAGATTGTGAGGACTGGGTTTTTGTTTTTGCAGGTGATATTGAATCCATGGGACCCACAATCGGGTTCTTGTAGTTGAGGGATAAAAAAGGGGGAGGTTATATTTGGTCCGTTTCCACAGTTTTGTGGGGAACAAGAGGTCGAACTGGAGGAAAGGGATAGAGATTGAAGATTTAAGTAAGTAGAAATTGTGAGAAAGAAGAAAAGTTTGTCGAAGAAGACGAAGAAACGAAGATTCATTTTTGGGTGAAACTGGAAACGAAGGAGAAGTAAAGAGAAAGTGTGAATTTGGGAGGGAAGTGTAAAGATTTAAGGTCTTCGTTTTGGTTTGGATCCTTGTGAGTAAAGTCTATGGTTGGATATAGAATAATAGAATAATAGAATATGATGCTTTTGTTTTGGTTCTAATCATGATGAAAAGTTTGAAAAAAAGTCAAGAGATAGTGTAATTAATTAATAAAATAACTAGGAAATAATGTATATATTTATAAGATTCTCATTTCATTATTTCTTATAATAGAATATAAAAATTAATAACTTAGATCTTATATTCGTATCTTAAATTATTTTAAAAAACTGAATATCATGTATATTGCAAAGGTGCTCGTTAACCTATTCGATGAATGTTCACACAAAAATATAGATTTACTAGGATTTTACAAGTCTTAAAAAAAAAAAAAAAAAAAAAAAAAAAAAAAAAAAAAAAAAATTTACAATTTTTTAAGTAAATTGGTGTACTATTTTGGTGACACGTGTAAGTTTGGGGTTGGTAAATGTTGACTTGAAGG